AAAAAAAAAAAAAAAAAAAATTACTAATGTTGGGTACAGTAACTTTCTGGCAAAGTGTGGGACTGGAGCCATATCCTCTATCACATGAGTTGGCAGGGGGAGGGGGGTGGGCAGGCAGTGCTGGTGGTAGGTGGGGAACAGACAAGGGGAGGGGCTGAGAGTAGAATGAGAAATTTCTAAGAAAAGGTGGGAAGAACAATCACCACTAACATTTACTGCTCCCAAATGCACAGATAAAATTTATTAATTCATTTATCACCACATTTTAACTCTTTGGGAATTTTTATTCTGTGATTATCTGTGATTTTATTACACAAGTCAATTTTTTTAAAAAGGCTCACAGCATGTAAATTTACTTCACAGGCAATAAAATTCACTAAAACATTTCCATTTCCTTAATGAAATATCCAATGAAGATACTTAAAATTAATGTCCATAACAAAGACATGTTATAAATAAAACATGAGTTCATGGGAGCTGTTTAAGCTAAGAACTCTTTGCACTTTCATTACAATCACTTGTAATTGCATTAGAACTAAATGACTTCAAAATCCCTTTCTAGCTTTAAAATTCTTTGATTAGAAGAAGTTTAAACATATGCAGAAACTGGACTGCTGAAATCCAGAAATACATTCCTGATAAGAATGTAAAGTGTTCCTCAAAGTGTTAAACAAGGGTTACCATATAAGTCAGCAATTCCACTCCTAGGTATATACCCAAGAAAATAAAAATACACACCCACACAGAATCTTGTTCAAAAATGTTCACAGCAGCATTATTTATAAGAGCCAAAAACCAGAAGCAACCCAATGTCCATAAACTGATAAACGAAATGTGGCATTATCCATAGAATGGAGTGTTACTTGGCAATAAAAAGGAAGGAACTCTGGTCCATGGTACAACATGGATGAAGTTTGTAAATATTACGCCAAGCGAGAGAAGCCAGTCACAAAGGACTACGTACTGTATGACTGTATTTATATGAAATGTCCAGAATACACAAATCTATAGACACAGAAAACAGATTAGCGACTGCCGAGGGTAAGGGATAAGAGTGAATGGCAAGTGATAAAACTATTCTAAAATTAGACTGTGCAACCAGAGCAATGATTGCACAATTCTGTAAAGACACTAAAAACCGCTGACTTGTACTCTTTAAATGGGTGAATTTTATGACATGTGAATTATATCTCAGTAAGTTTGTTTTATAAAAATGAAGACATTTATAGAAAAAAGGGGTAAAATATTCCGTCATATACTCAGAACTTGTCTTTAAGCTGCATTCATACTTGATGGTGATTATTTCTTGTATTTGACTACTGTGATGATAAGATGAAAATATATTTCATAAATGGCAATAATTTGAAACCACGGATCGACAATAAGAAAGAAAAAGATGGAAAGGGTTTTTTTTCTTTTTTTCCTGGTCAAGTGAAGCAGTGGGAATGGAGAAGGAACAAAGGAATCTGTACCTGGTTGTGATCAATTAGTTGTAAACACCACTGCACTCAGAACAACTGGTTTTTTTTTTTTTAATAACAAAGTACACAATATACTCAATTTACTCAAACATTCAGTTTAGTCAACAATGCTACCACTTTTTTATGGTGGTGGTGGAAAGATGTACACTTCTTTTTTTTTTTTTTTTTTGAGACAGAGTCTCACTCTGCTGCCCGGGCTAGAGTGCCATGACTTCAGCCTAGGTCATAGCAACCTCAATCTCCTGGGCTCAAGCGATCCTCCTGCCTCAGCCTCCCGAGTAGCTGGGACTACAGGCATGGGCCACCATGCCCGGCTAATTTTTTTCTATATATATATTTTTAGTTGTCCAGATGGGGTCTCGCTCTTGCTCAGGTTGGTCTCGAACTGACCTTGAGTGATCCACCCACCTCGGCCTCCCAGAGTGCTAGGATTACAGGCGTGAGCCACCGGCGCCTGGCCAGATGTACGCTTCTGTAAGAATTTCAATACAAATGGAAAAGGAATGCTTACACATTAGTCATGTGCTACGTAAGAAGGCTAATCACAATTCAAGAACTTGAAGTGAAGGACTGCTTGAGCCCAGGAGTTCAAGCCTGCAGTGAGCTGTGATGGCACCACTGCACTCCAGCCTGGGAGATACAGTGAGACACCACCTCAAAAATAAATAAATAAATAAATAAAGTGTCAGCTTCTTTATCCCTCTGGTATGTGGTGAAATTAATGACTTGATGTTAATGATATGTACTTTTTAATTTACACGAAACTTAAAAGTTTTCAATTCTTATGGTTTATGTGTATATAATTTTAATCCTCATTGCTTATCTGAATTAATTTTTTAAAAAATTCAGATTTGTTGAATGCTTTTGTGCATTAGTCTCCAGAGGGTTCAAAGAGTAAGACCCAACCCTGCACTCAAGTTGCTTACGGACTGTCAGAGGACAAGGTAGCACAAGGTCTGAAGCAATGCCATTGAAAGTTGTCTTAGGCCACTGCTGGCATGTGGCCTTGAGTTGTCTTTAAAAAAAATAATAAAGCAGCACTGCGTAAACCAGAAAAAAAAAATGTAAAAAAGCAAAAATTCCTCCAGATGTGAGCCTTTAAAATGATAATTCCATACCTTAGAGGCCATGAGACACATAAAAGGGCAGCACCTCGTGTTGGGGACTCCACAAGCCCACCGCCAGCATTCTCAAGGGCCTCTGTGAGGCCACGTGCATTTACTTACTACACACTCCAACTGGGAAAAGAACCTCTGCCTGCTGCCTCTAAAAAAATTCCTCCTGCCAGCTCTGCAGAACTAGGTGGTAAGCATTCCTTTCTTTTCTGTCTTAGGACAGAACCAAGCTGACAAATGTCCTGTTTTGGGGTCTCAGAAAACTAGTGTAATAACACAATGTATAAAGCATTAAGAGCGAATTAAGGTGGTGAGAGCCATTAATCCAGTAAACCAATGGGTAAAACCACAACATGAACACCCATGTTAATTTAAAATAATAATTACTGAGTCTCTAGGCACAAGGCACCAGCTTAGTGCTAAGAGGGACATAAAAAAGAAGTAACAGGCCGGGCGCGGTGGCTCACGCCTGTAATCCTAGCACTCTGGGAGGCCGAGGCGGGTGGATCGCTCAAGGTCAGGAGTTCGAGACCAGCCTGAGCAAGAGCAAGACCCCGTCTCTACTAAAAATAGAAAGAAATAAATCGGACAACTAAAAATATATATATAAAAAAAAAATTAGCCGGGCATGGTGGCGCGCGCCTGTAGTCCCAGCCTACTTAGGAGGCTGAGGCAGAAGGATTGCTTGGCCCAGGAGTTTGAGGTTGCTGTGACCTAGGCTGATGCCACGGCACTCACTCTAGCCTGGGCAAAAAGAGTGAGACTCTGTCTTAAAAAAAAAAAGAAGTAACAGACTGCGCTCAAGGAAATGCTGTCTAGTCAATGCAGGAGAGAGAGACATAAATAAATATAAAGTATATATTTCTCCCAGGTTGGAGACAGTGCTGTGAACAATTTGTATGATGCCTTTTATGAGAAAATTATGATAATCAATTAGTGTTTTGCAATTTATAAAAGCACTACAGAAATCAGGGATGTCTTATTCACTACCAAACCCCAGTACCTAGAACAGAGCCTGCCACATAGGAGATTTTTTTTTTTTTTTTTGAGACAGAGTCTGGCTCTGTTGTCCTGGCTAGGGTGCCATGGCGTCAGCCTAGCTCACAGAAACCTCAAACTCCAGGGCTCAAGCGATCCTCCTGCCTCAGCCTCCCGAGTAGCTGGGACTACAGGCATGTGCCACCATGCCCGGCTAATTTTTTCTATATATATATTTTTAGTTGTCCAGATAATTTCTTTCTATTTTTAGTAGAGACGGGGTCTCGCTCTTGCTCAGGCTGGTCTCAAACTCCTGACCTTGAGCGACCCACCCGCCTCGGCCTCCCAGAGTGCTAGGATTACAAGCGTGAGCCACCACACCTGGCCAGATTTTTAATAAATATTTACTCAACAAATGAATGAATGACATAGCTTTCCACCCTTTATCTTATAGTCATCCTGTAGGATGTTTTATTAATTATTATTGCTATTTAGTACATGAAGAAACCAAGGCTCTGACCACACAGTTAGAAGTAGTAGTGACAGAGGCCAACCCTAGGTCCTTTGACAAAATCTGAAGTGGGCGTTTCCAGTACAGGTGAAAATGCCCACAAAATTTAAAAGCCTTTATAAAGAGAACTTGGAAGTTCCAGCTTCTGACCTCCTGGTAATGGCAGAGTTCGCTTGGTCAGACTAACCTTTCTCCAGGTAAAAATTATAATATGGGGAATAAATACATACATACACATGTATGTGCACACACACATTTTAAGGCATGGGGAAATGACCCCAAAAAGGCAGGCATCAAAAGGAGTCTATCCTTGAAAGACAAACTGCAATTTATGAGATTTGAGAGTCTGTGGCCTTTCACCAGGGGGCACGGCCAACTCTACCTGCAGTCTGGGAGACAGGTAGCCCTAACCTCACAGGCTTGGGGGTCAGAGGACAACATATGGGACCAACTCAACAGCCAGGAAGTTGGACCTTGGGAGTGGGAACAGCAAGGTGGTAGGCCCCAACATCCATGGATAAAATTCACTCAAATCCTTAACCACTAAACTACGCATACAATATCAAACAATTCAGAGCAGTGTTTCATGGGAGAAAATTCAGATTCAATTGCTTTTTTCTTTTCTTTTTTTAAGACAGGGTCTCGCTATGTTGCCCAGGCTGGTGTAGTTATTCACAGGTGTCATCATGTGCACTAAAGCCTAGAACTCCTGGACTCAAGCAATCCATCCTCCTGTCTCAGCCTCCCCAGTAGCTGGGACTACAGGTATGTGCTGCCACACCTGGCTCAGACCCCATTGATTTTCTTGAGACAGAGTTTCCTTCTGTCATCACAGTTAGAGTGCAGAGGCATCATCATAGCTCACTGCAACCTCAAACTCCTGGGCTCAAGCGATCCTCCTGCCTCAGCCTCCCCAGTAGCTGGGACTACAGGCACACACCATCACGCTGGGCAAATTTTTCTATTTTTGGTAGAGACAGGGTCTCACTCCTGCTTAGGCTGGTCTCGAACTCCTGAGCTCAAGCAATCCACCTGCCTCGGCCAATGAGAGTGCCAGGATCACGAGCTTAAGCCACCATGCCTGGTCCACTGATTTTCAATGAATCATTTTCTTTCTACTCCTCTTCATCATAGTACACTAGATGATTTTCCTCCAAAATGTAACTTCCTCAAGCTTACTGAGGCTTGATTATCAAAGAATGGGGTAATTTTATGCCAAACTAAAGGCAATGAAAGGTACTGAGATTTAAAAGTTCAAAGTGTAAAAACCATTTGAGAATTTTTACCTGTTTGTAGCAAAATAATGTTCACAAAATAATGATATTCATATAATGGACTGATATAGAACAATGTTCAGAATATATTACATTTTAAATACAAAATACAAAAGAATGTATATTACATAAACATTGTAATGGATGTTGCACTATTATAATATATACTATGTAATACATAACTATTTTCCCCTATCCCCCTTCCCGACCCCACAATATACAACTATTATATTAATTTATTCCTATCCAAATATATTTTGGAATAACTCTTGATTGGCCTGTGCAATTATAATTAGTGATTATCTCTAATATAGAAAACAGAAGGAACTGTAATGGAAGCAGTTCAGATATGCAAAACAAGACAATGAACTGATTAAAATTTGTATGCATCTTTGACATTCAGGAAAACACTTAAGATTTAGACCGTAAGACAAATCTTCATGCTTACCTTAAAAGTCAAGATAATGCTAATAAACAGAAGAATAATAAGGACCAAACAGGTAGGATTCACAGACATGATATCATCTTTGTAGGGAAAATTAGGAGGCTGCAAAACAAAAGGGCCTCATTAGGAAAATCTCATTAATCATTCAAGATTATATTCTTTAGGTGGCAACTCAGATGTGCTTATCAGAAAGCAATTGCTTAAAGCGATAAGGTATTATTTAGGACTAATACAAAATTTCTAGCCTAACTCCTCTGATGAAAAAGCTATAAACAGTGTGATGGGGAGAGGCTAGCCTGTTCATAAGTCATACAATAAATTCTGACAAGAAAAATCGAGGAAGAGTCACAAGTGAGACCTGAAAATATAACTCTGTCCTCCTTTTTTTTTTTTTTTTTTTTTTTGAGACAGTCTCGCTCTGTTGCCCAGGCTAGAGTGCCATGGCATCATCCTAGCTCACAGCAACCTCAAACTCCTGGGCTCAAGTGATCCTCCTGCCTCAGCCTCCCAAGTAGCTAGGACTATAGGCATATGCCATCATGCCCAGCTAATTTTTTTATATATATATTTTTAGTTGTCCAGATAATTTCTTTCTATTTTTAGTAGAGACGGGGTCTTGCTCTTGCTCAGGCTGGTCTCAAACTCCTGAGCTCAAACAATCCGCCCGCCTCGGCCTCCCAGAGTGCTAGGATTACAGGCGTGAGCCACCATGCCCGGCCAACTCTGTCCTCTTACTATACAAAAGTTAAAAGCCAGTGGTCCGTATCCAGGGACATTTTATACACCTCTGATATTTGGATTTTCTGCAAATTCTGGACCATTTTTTCCCTTGAAGCCTGAAAGGTTTTTTGTAGTGCTGATCTTAAAGGGAAAGAATAAAATAATGTGGTATTGTTTACCAAGACCAACAAGAAATTATATTGTTCCTATGTCTAATTTTTAAAAAGGGACTGAAGTGCAAGTATGTGACCCTTTACACAAAGATCTTTACACTCTTCTCCCTCTGAAAGTGAACATGGTTGAGATCAGCATATGTCCTGACGAGATCAAGAAGAAGATATGGACAACTTATTTTAACATGTTTTACAAGACTCCACTTAAACAGATAAACAGAACAGGCATGCGAATGAAGTGGGGGCTGTCTTCCAGCCTTCTCAGATAACAGTCTCTCCAGACTCCATATATCCAGTCTGTCAACAAGGGCCTCCATGAGGGGCACATCAACCTTCACATTCATTACTGTCTCTTAAGCATCGTGGTAACCTGCAGGCCTCGCTCTATCAACCCAGACTGATCCTTAAGTAGAAAACACAGAAGATATTATTATCTTCTTATATTACTAGTTTGTAATTATAAATAAGAGTAGATGATGATTTTTTTTAACTGACATTAAAATTACTGTTAAAATCACTAATGTTATTACACAACTAATGGCTCTAAAGCAAATGAGTACATAGTTATGAAAATGTGTGGGGTACAAAAGGAAGTCTAGGTAGCATGTGAGTGCTCCGCACGCTTGTCTTCCATACTAGGCTTTTTGTTCTTTATCATCTCTGCAACATATACAATGCATCACATAATATACTATTCAAAACAGTCACAGGGCTGTCTTCACGTCTCCTCAATCACCACCGCCCTGTCCCAGCCCCTTCACATGACAGATCTGTTGAGATCATATTTCCTCCTCACTTCCAGCATGATCTGAGGAGCTCAGCATCAGATCATCATTAGAGAGAGAAACACAAGTCCTTAAAAACAGAGGTAATTCTACAACCTGCTCATATATAAACCCCTCATGCAGAAACACCTGGCTGGCCCAGAGAGATAACAGATAAAATTACCAAGTGGAAAATACAGAAAAATTTTCTTGATGCTACATTCTATGGAAACATGAATCTGTTTTCTTTTTAAAAAAAAAAAAAAAAAAAAGAAGGAAGCTATTATTACTAATGAGAATGATAACCACAACAATGACAAAATAGAGACTTTTAAGGAGCTTTTTTGGCTAGGTCTGCTGGGTACCACGTGGTCTGGGCAGGACCATAATCAAGATGACCAACATCTGCTGCCCCATTTCTCTCCCTCCCTCCAGTCCCCCTCTACTACTCTCTCTTCTAGGCCCCACTATCACATCAAATCTCACAGCTTCATCCCTCCCTAACCAGGAAAACACCCTACTGCATACCCCCGGCTCAGAGAAAACCTCCAGTGAACATCCTCTCTATTTAAAACATTCTAAGATTTCAAAGAAATTAAATTTTAAGGCACATTCACAATTTAAAAAGCAAGAGTTAAAGAATGTGAAGGCAGAGACAGAACTATTTCAACCTCACAACTGCCCTAAGCTTCTTAATACCAGCCACCAATGTTTGCTCGCATGATCACAAAGGACACTTGGCTGAAAACGAGTCCCGAAATGATACTTGGGGAAGAAACGGGTTCTGTGGTCAAATAAGTCTGGGAACTAGGGCACAGTTCCCTACAGTTCCACATGGTGCCACTTTCCCCATACAACGGCAAAGGCAAAAAGCTACCCTTTGCTGATGACTGAGCAAATAGCATTTTACAAAAATAAGACTATTGGTAATTAGATTATAATTTAGATAGACACACTGAACACCACACATCACCACCATCAACCTTGCCATCAACTTAATCTGTCTGACTCAGGGAGGTTATGATTTCCCAAAAAGTATTCTAAGAAACCAAAACTCTTATATTTAAGATAACATTTTTTTAAAATCTCTGGTAACTCAGATGCAAACTAAAAATCCACAAATTAATTTGTGTGTGTGTCTATGTCTCTACCGTTTAATCAGGTTTTTTTTGTGCATGTTTCCCACATAAAAAACAGCAGTTACTGAGAGGGCCACATACCAGCTGCCGTACGTATTCCTGAATGGAGTTTGGATAAACGAGCACAGTGACTGCAACCAAGGTGTTCAGGGCAAAATCGAAGATCTGGTAACAGAAGAATGGGATGATCCAGGCAGCGCGTTGCTAAACGTAATAGAAAATAGACTGTGTTCAATATTATAAAATGTTACTTTGTTCAGTTCAAAGAAATCTTTTACTAATCTGAAAAGAAACGGTAAAACTGAAATTCATTAAACCAGGTCATGATGGCAACCGCTATGTCAAAGATAAGTAGTCAACAAACAAGCCTCAAAGAACATTTCTGGAACCATAATATTGGTTTTATCATGGCCTTCCTAGCACCACGTGATATTAACAAGAGATTTAAGCTTTCAAAGGTTCTTAGAGAAAACTGGAAATAACTTCTTATTATAGATAGCTGCACAGATTATACATGTAAGGAACTGAGGGAAAGGTCCCGCATCTTACTGCAAGCTGCTTACCTTATATGCTCCATATGTAGCCATTGCGCATATCAGGATCATGAGAAGAGAAATTGCAATCGCAATGCACATGTCTGTAAAAGGGTTTTTTAAAAAAAGACAATCAGTAGTAGATCCACTGTTTGAGGTTTTTTTTTGTTGTTGTTGTTTTTTTTTTGAGACAGGGTCCACTCTGTCACCTGGGCTAGAGTGCAGTGGCATCATCATAGCTCAATGGAACCTCAAACTCCTGGGGCTCAAGTGATCTTCCAACCTCAGCCTCCCCAGTAGCTGGAACTACAGGCATGTAACACCACACCCGGCTAATTTTTTCTATTTTTAGTAGAGACGGGTTCTCTCACTCTTGCTCAGGCTGGTCTCAAACTCCTGACATCAAGCAATCCTCCCACCTCAGTCTCCCAGAGTGCTAGGATTATAGGCGTAAGCCGTCGCACCCAGCCTTTGAACACTTACTTGAGTGTTCAAAAATAAAAATGAAAGCACTTTATTTATAAACCAATTATAAGTGAAAACTTTATGCCAAGTAAACCATCAGACTTTCTTTGGAATTTGAGGTGGTGATCGCTAATATAAGATGTCCAAAAGATGTTCTCCCTATAACATAAATGATAGATAAGAGATTATTTCAAAATAGGGGAAGAGATATTGGTTGCAGATATTTTTAAAAGTTTGGTCTTCTGGTCCACTGAATTATAGAAATAATGAGTTAGGTTTTCTTTCATGGTCATAAAGGCAGGTGTCTGATGTATATTTTATCAACTCATGTGTGCCTCATGGCTCTAATTAAGATCTCCCGATACCTTTCCTTTTTTTTTTTTTTTTTTTTTTGAGACAGAGTCTCGCTCTGTTGCTGGCCTAGAGTGTGTGGCGTCAGCCTAGCTCACAGCAACCTCAAATTCCTGGGCTCAAGCGATCCTTCTGCCTCAGCATCCCCAGTAGCTGGGACTACAAGCATGCGCCACCATGCCCGGCTAATTTGGTTTTTATATATTTTTAGTTCCCCAGCCAATTTCTTGCTATTTTTAGTAGAGACGGGGTCTTGCTCTTGCTCAGGCTGGTCTCGAACTCCTGAGCTCAAACGATCCTCCCGC